AGCAAGGCTTTGGGCATGTTTTTTATGAGAGTATAACATTATAACATGATATCAAACTCAAAAAAGTTGATTTTACATGATATTGCCCCTTTACATAAAGCAACAAAGTATTTGTACTTAGTTATTTTACACCTCTTTAAAAAATGTTATTAACTTTAAAATACTTGTATAACCTGTTTTACCTTGCAGCTGGATCTGCCCTCTCTGTCTGCCCAGTGGATTGAGACATGTACAAGTGAAGTTTGGCATGCCAAGAAAACTGCTGAGGTTGTAATTCCGAATCATCAGCTGTGTTGTGTTGCTGCTGATCTGGTCTGTCGTCCCGTTGACGACAACCTCACCCCCTCTGGACCACGACACCACAGCCCGAGGGAACGCTCCACTGAGGCAGCCAATTGTAACCACAATTTTACCGTCAGGGTCAACAGTGGTTTCTACAGATGGAAGGAAATTCATAGGAGCACCTGTGGAGCAAACAGGTTATTGCTGATGATGTCATTTATTATTGTTTTATAAGCATAAAAATAACAATAAAAAAACTGACTTGCTGTAACATTGCATTTGTTCTGTTCAACTGGGTGGTCTGCCAAACACATGACTGTTTTCTTGTTGAGACTGGCTGAAGCGTTGACAGTCAGGCTGAGGTTTTCTGTTCCAGTACTGGTGTTGCTCAGGACTGGGAAGGACAGGTGGGCCTGTGGAGTACCCCCTCTCCACCCACACTGATACAGCAGGGTGATATCATTTACCGACAGCACGGAGCACGTCGGGGACCCCTGTGGCCTCTCTGTTCCCAGGGAAAATGGATATATTTAGACAAATATGATCAATATCTGAACAGTTTTAAAAGGTGTACTGTTACTGGCTTTACAATTTAATACCAAATACATACATACTTTAGCGATGTGGATTACATTTATATCCCACACCAATATCAAATCGAACAGTGAATTCAAAAACAACATTAAAAACCTTATAAAATAACACCAAAAACAGGTGATTATCTCAAGAATGAAGGAGGAAGTTATGGATGTTCGTTTAGGTGTAAAACAAGCTCCTGATTTCTGCCACAACTCAAGAGCTACCATTCATAACTTCCTTAATGTTCAAGATATTTRCATGAAATTTTAGGAAAAGTTCCACAATCTGCTTTTTGTAGGAAGCATCTTGTATCCTAAAAACAATAAAAACATTATAAAATCCAACATAAGATTAGCAGAAAAGGAATAAACCGTAACAAGGTTCACATCAACAAACTGAAATGTCAAATCAACTTGACGCATCTTGGAGAGCCAGGAATTTAATACTTTTTAAAAAAAACTTGTGGACCTTTGTTTTGTAAACAAAGCCAACCAACGACAGCGTGCAAAATGTGTCAAGTGACAAAATAACTAAACGTGGACTATTTCGTATGGAAAAATCACACTTTGACATTTCAGATCATAATCAGATTTGGAACAAAGGCAGATAAAATAATGTCATTCACGCAAGCTTACCTGGAGAAACTCGGATGTTTGAATTTGATCCTATTTTCAATGACGTGGCTCTTGAAAACACATTGACAGAAATAAAAAACGAGTCTGCAGCCAACTACCTGATGTCAGCATGGTTTGTTGAAACTCAAAGAAATAACGAAAAAGGGAGCAAGTAGCAAGCGAGCGTTCAGRGTCAGTTACGTACCGTAAACATTTAAAGTCACGCTCTTTTCTCGCTTCTCTGCGGACACCTCGTTGAGCAGAGAACACTTATAAACACCTCCTTGACTGGTCTGCACGTTTGTCAAGGTCAAGCCTCCTTGTTGAGAATGAGGAAGGATTTGACCACCGAACGTCCACTCAACAGTTGGCAGTGGGAAGCCCTGAGCCTGACAGGAAAGGTTCAAACTGCCCCCTGCTTCATAGAACGGCAGAGCTGGATGTACCTCAACTATGGGTTCATCAGGTCCATCTGCAACAAACCAGAAAGTGTAGAGAGGAAAAAAGTCACAGAAACATGGCAGGATAGAAATCTAAATGAATACATGGAATAAAAAGGAAAATCTCTTACAGAAAACAGGCACGTTTATTTGAGTTGTCACGTTGTTAAAGGGGTTCGTCAGTGACAGTGTGTACAATCCGGTATCGCTCCGGTTCGGTTTGAGGATCACAAGGCTGGTTCTCGCTTTGAGATAGCGTGAGCTGTTTTTCACCTCTCTGCCGTTAAAGCGCCACGTCTGTTGCTCCACTACTCCTTGAAGCATGCTGTACTGTAACGTGAAATTATCAGTCCCCTCTATGACAGAAGACGGCCGCGTGCTCAGATTCACATTCTGGATGTTTTCTGTAAAACAAAAAAATGTGATTCAATCGTACATTTTTCAGCTTTCCTTCACCACACCACAGTTCCAAAGGCAGATAACTACAAGCCTCAGAGCTGGGAAGGGCTCCAAGTTAGATGACTAAACAGTTTTTTTGAAAGAAACAGATTATTTCCTCTAGCAGCTGCTTAAACGTGTGTTTCACATATGCATTAATATTTTATTATATACTTAGTATGCAGCATATTAAAGCAATGCAAAACTGACTCAATTCATATAGTTATTTCACGTTTTTCTAACCCTGGCAAAAACAGCTAACTTAAGAAAACTTTTATTAACAGATTTTTATTTATTTATTTTAAATCGCCTAGGCCTATAAATCTAAGAACAGTTAAGAATAATGAACCAYTGATCACATCAAAACAACCTACCACAACTACACATTTGGCTCTGTCAAGTACTCACCAAATATCTTCAAAGTGAAAGTTGTGAAAAATCTTTCCTGTCCAGATTTTGTTAGTTCCGCGGTGTAAGTGCCAGTGAAACTAACTGGTACGTTTACAAAAGTAAGAGAGCCATTGGGTTCAATCCTGAGCACAGTCCTGCTGTCTGGAGCAATGTCTGGAGTAGAATTGGAGTTTATAATCCATGTAGCAACAATTAAATTTCCTTTAGACCAAGTGACTACTGGGTCTGCTGCACCACTGTAGGCCAGAGCCAGAGACACATTGCTACCACTCAATGCATTCAGCACAGCTGGACCAACAGGAGACACCACTAGTTGACATTCAGCACCTGCCAAGATGGAGTTCAAAGATGAAATATGATTTTATTTAGTCTTTAAATCAACAACGATGTTATGGGTCCAAAATCATGCATGTTAGGTTGCCTTCAGGCTCAGGCCTCCCTTGCAAAAGAAATGTGATCATAATGGGATTGGCCTAGTTGAATAAAAAAAATAAAATAAAAATAAAAGTCCATGTGAACAATGAAATCTAACTGGAAAGAGGTCTATAACTACAAAAATATAAAAGAAAAACAAAGACTATAACACAAATGCAAAACTGTCTTTTTTCTGGTAAATGTACAGAAAGAAAGAAAGAAAGAAAGAAAGAAAGAAAGAAAGAAAGAAAGAAAGAAAGAAAGAAAGAACTATTTAAGGCTAAACCCAAGTTTAAAACTCACCTTGAAATGCTAAGAAAAAGAAAAGGGACAGAAAAACTGCCCTGAGCTTCTCACGTTCTTCGAGCTTCTTCATCTCTGACACAAAAACGGTAAGGAAAGTAACAAATTATTGTTCTGACATTTAAATCCCCCCCAAAAAAACACCGAAATGTCCTTGGCTGCTCTGTGGTGAGCTCACCTGCGCTGCTCAATGCCTCTGTTGTTCACCTGAAGCCACGCCCCTAATTACAAAAACTGCTGTAGGCCTATTTATCCAAACACGTTATAATTTTTATATTAATTAGAATTTAGGCTATGAATTTAAATTCACGGCAACTTGACCACAGCAGAATTTTATTATGATCTGGCTTACAAACATGTTTTTAGCTGACAGAGTAAACCTTACTACAATCTAATACTTACTTTACATTGAACACTTAAAAGTCTGCTTTATTTATGTTGTATGTTTAGTTAGCATATCATGGTAGTATAATAATATAGTATACAATAATATTGTATGTTTGTGAAATAGTTGATTTATTTCATAGTACAAAGACTTTTATAAAATTACATTGGAAAGTGGTTGCAATTCTATGCTAATTTAACTAAGAGGTTGCTAACAGTTTAGGCAATGAAAGCAAAACATATACATGTAAAGATAAACTAATGAAGTATAWCAGAGAAACAATGAACAGTTCAAAAATAAACAGTATCTTGTAAATTACTCAGCAATCTTGCAGTTTATTACATATTTAATAAGTCAAATGTCAAGGTTGATTTTGGTCTTTTAGGCATGCTCCTATAAACTACACAAAGAAATAAAAAAACAAAACAAAAACAAAACAAAAAAAAAAACACCAGACATGGCTCTGTGTGTGAAAAAGACTGGCTTTATTTTATGGTGATATTCTGTACAATCAACAGAGAAATGAGGCGTTTGTGGTAAAATTCAGATTTATGATGATCTCCCCGCAGTCATACTGAGACACACTGTCTGATCAACTCTAAACAAAGTCACAGATACATTAACTGTACAGTTTTAACAGCAGTGGTGATGTTAATCTCGAAGGACATAATCATCCCTACGTGTCTGGGTCCATATCTACACAAATCACTCACATCTCTGAAGATGTGTGGCATTACAAGATTAAAAAGCTGCAGCTGGCAGATTTATTGTACAGGTGGAATTAGTGTACAGTTTATACAATCAAAAACCTGAACTTCATAAAGTTTCTAACTTTAATTTACTGCATGAAATCCGTTACCTTAAGATTAAAAGATACAGTTGGACCACCTATTAAAGTTAAAATTTACATCATAGACAATATTTTTTCTGGAGTTGTCTGGACACAAGACAATGTTTCTCAGTAATGTTCCTCTTCTGTTAGTACCTCCCTGCTCATCATCAGGAGCTGCAGTTTAAACAAGGGGAAAAACTGACTCATAAACCCATCCTGTGGGTGTGCTAATGCCTTACAGTCCAGTTATTCATCACAGAGTCCTGCAACAAGAGAAGAGAATGTCTAAGACAAAGACAGGAAATGCAGTTAACATAGATGATTATTATGGCTGCATTCACACTGCAGGTTTAAGTGCTCAATTCTGATTTTTTTTGCAAAAATCCGATCTCAGGTTCACATTGTTTTTAAATGTGACCTCCATCAGACTCCAGTGTGAACTCTACATGGCACTGATGCCACTCGCAATGCACAGAAAATGACGTGACGTCACGT